CCAAACGCACCTATTGTCACCCCTCCATATATTGAGTTTAACATGTGGTTTTGCTACACATGTGATCAGAAAGGATGGTCCACTTTTGTGAAGAAGAGATGCGTAGGATTATGTATGAATGTATTGAATATATTCTTTTAATACAGGACTTTTAACTTCGGTATAAAATTTATATTGTATAATATATACTTTTTTAAAAATACTTTAAAATACTTTTATACATATGCACAATTGTGCTTTTATTATATAGTTTCAAATTTAAATGTGTTAGGAAAAAAATTATCTTCGAGTATATTGAGAGTTTTTTCTACCCTCTTGATAATTCTCGAAGTTTTTCACTGGTCCCTCCAACTTTGAATTATCGAGAGTCGAATGTATATACATATATATATTTAATTTTGAAAACTTTTTGAAGAATCTTAGTACTTGAACATCTTTACTCAATCATAAAAAAGTTGAAATTTTATCCAAGTTTATATCAAATATTAGTCTAATGTCAGTTTTGAATTGAATAGAGAACACATGATTACAACTATTATACAATCATAACCTTTTGGGACTTTTTTTTTTACTTATGAAGGCTTAGTTTCATTGTTCCTGTGCTATAAATTTACTTTTTCTGAAGCTCGCTGTAGAACTTGTTTCTTTGTCATACGATGATATATGCTGAAAAACATGCACAGGCGAACTTTTTAAAAGAATAGCATATCTTTTATAAAGGGCAATATTAATGAAAATTGGAACAAAATGGAAGAATTGTTAATTTTTGCTTTACTTAAAATCGTTCAATTTGTAAGAAAATTTGTGTTTTAACATATTTTTCTAGAAATAAAGAATTTAATAGCTCCTATTTTGAAAAATGTCAACTTAGTTTAAGCAATGCACAACCAACGTTGAAACTCTTATAATTTTATTTCAAGCTACGAATACCTTAAACATTAACAGTTAATGCTGATACCTTTATTTTAAATTTAATATATTCGGCAACGAGGTACTTAAAATTTGTAGAGAGCGTACCCGAATAAAGTTTATGAATAAAAACCAGTTTTGTGCTACAGGCGTTTCTTCTAAGGTTACGTATAAACATCGATTATCGAGTTTTTAAATTTCTTATGACTGAAATGATAAAATACATTTTTATTGCTGAATCAAACATCTAAATGATTTCTTATGGAATTAAATTTGAAATAATAAGCGATAATCAAACATTGATTAAATCGTTTTCTATAAGTGATTTTATATAATTGTTAATCATCATAACGTATGATAAATCAAATTTTTATTTAAAGAATATTTGATATATAATTCACAAAAACAGCAACTTAATTTGTAAAAATTATTTGTAAAGGGGATGGTGTTTTCTTTTTGAATATCTAAAGGTCCATGGATCGAAGGACTAAACTCTAACAAATATTAGGAACTCTATTTAAATCAATTACAATCATTTGGGATATTAAACGAAAATCAACAAAATGTAATTTACAGTGAAATTCGCTTAGCGCGAAAACGCTTAAGGCATTGGTTAACACGAAATAATACAACGGTCCTGACAAACAGTTATGTATTTTCATGCATTTTCCCCCTCAAAAAACGAAACGAAAATCGCTTGACCCGAAAAAATTTCTCTTCTGGAAATTAACAAAATACGGAAAACACCAGCAGCGCAGGGTAGATTTAAGAGGGGTGTGAAATAAAAGAGAGGTGGTTTTCACATATTTCATAGAAAACACGCTGACTTGTCTTTGAAATTCCCTCGGAATAGCCTTTGACACGAGCAAATATAGTTTGTTTAAGCTATTTTCATCCTCCGTTTCAATAAACGCCACACAAAAACATCCGAAATAAGGAATATCATGAAAAAGTATGCGCAGTTATTTAGACGCACATTCCATTGGTGAAATGAATAATTTGTCCTGTTGAGTAGATATCTACTAAAAATGGGTCTTGAGGAATCGACTACCAAGGGGGCGGTGGAGCTACTTGGGTGTAAAAGGTTAAAATGTTCATTTTTGAATGATTAGACAAACAGACTAGAAAGGTGGCAAGCATATTTCTTTTATTGAGTAGAGATCCTCTACAAATGGATTTTGTGGAAACCTACCTTCCAGAAGGGTTGTGGGTAAGTTACGGTTTCGTTATAGATAAAAAAAAATGTTTTTGAGGTATTAGATCCACACAATTGAAATTTGGTAAGCATGTTTCTTTTGTTGAGTAATGATCCAATAGAAATGGGTTTTGCAGAAATCGACTCCGAGAGGGAGGGGAGAATATGGGGTGTAAAAGATAAATATAATTTATCTTTAGAAATCCAAGTACTATTCTTGAACCAAGAGACGAGATTAATGGAGGATGAATGTTTTTCTGGCTGTTTTGTTACAGGGTATGAAACATAGGTCGACGATCTCGTGCCATATACGAATATCTCTCTATTCCCGTACTTTTTCCAAAGAAAAAATGACACAAAAATATAACCAGCACAGATAATGTACAAGACAACAGATCAATGAAAATATGTGCAAGATTCAGAGTATTAACAGAAATAAAACTATCATTGGGCGTTTTACTTAACAATTTAAATTGGAAAATATTACTCAAATTTAAGCGACTTCGCAAAATTTTTGCTCTCGTGGTGACATGTTTGAAAATTATGCAGAATTTTTTCTATTCTAACTTATATATGGGTTTCAAATATTAGGTACATTTTTGAAGTAGAAAAAATATGTTTCCATTTATATACGAATCGGGTTACAATTGGAAAAATACAGTAATAATCATCGCCAGCTTTTGCTTTTGATAAATACATTTGATTTTAATGCATTGTCATAGAAGCGATCTAGTTTATTTCCCATCATGTTTTAAACTTTTTTGTTTCATCTATGAAACACATCTTATGTGAAAAATAATAAATAAACTCTTGTCGTACTAAAATAAATAAATTATACATTCTATTTTTAATGCGTAAATTTAATAATATGCTATATAAATTTAAAATTCGATTTCATACTAGATATAACAATACACTTAAACACTTCTGATTTTTAATCTGATACCTAAAAATCCGTTTTTCAAGTATTCATTTCGAGAAAAATCAATTGTAAAATTCTACGATTTCATCTCACAAGGACTTTACGAGCGTGGGTCCTCTTCGTTGGAGTCATCTGGATTCGATGTACCCTTCTTACACGCCTGAAGGGTACACTGTAAGGGTGGAGTAGGCTTCTCCACGAGCAGAAATGACAAAATGAAGTGGGGATTTTTACGAGGCATTTCAAATATAGGAAGGAGAAATTGAATCGGAGATTGGTTCAGACATCCTTCCGTTAAGCAGAATCCATGGTGTAGTGGATTTAGAAATGAAAGTGGTATACTTCACACAATTTTAAATTTATCGTAAATTGGCAAATATGAGTGGGTGTTGTTGCTATGTTCAGGAAGTAAAAATCTAAAATGGATTTTGAAACAAAACAATATGTTGTTTTTTCCATATGTTATGCAAAACAGAATTTAGTTTGATATGAATAGCTGGTAAAACAAAGATTTCTATTAAAAGAAAGACAAAATAACTAGATCTAGATCAAATTTTTACTGCCCAAACTAGTATTTTTATAAATTAGTGACTTACGATTTGATAATTTTGTGAAAGTTCTATTAATATATCTTCTGAAATTTAAAGTATTTTTCTTTTGTTTTTAATGTTTATGTTGTATTAGTGAACACTCCATTTTTTTATTTCAGCAATTAAAATAGTATAAAAATTTAAAAAAATAAATGTTTTGAAATGAAAACATATTTTGAAAAATATTTTATAAAATTATCTAAATAAAAAAATATATTTTTATAACTGAAAGTCAGTTACAATACTGCACAAAAAACTAGATCTTCTGTGACTTAAAAATCTTTTTAGCAGTTACTGCGGAAGTATATATCCTGTATATTAAAACAGGGCCCATGTCATTGACGTTGATATTTGATTCCTCGAAAAATGAGAGTGGAATGGAACTATACGAATTTATGAATGAAACGAAAATTTAACTTTTGTTGTTGTTATTCTTCGTGGAATAAAATTTTCTTTACTTGTACTACAAAAATTAATTACACAAATGCAGATAATTTTACACAATTATGAATTGAATAGCATTATTAAGTTTTGTGTTTGTATTTAAAATGAGCAAACGATATATTATCTTTTTGTGTGCAATGTTTCAAATAATAAATAAGATAGCTAAATGGCATTTTATGACTGATTGGATTTCTTGCTGCAGTTTATATGTACATGCGAGGATATATATCCCGTTTCTCTGATTCTTTGATTGTGTATTAATGTGGCCATCTGAAGAAAAGGCAACAGACTTCATAATTTTGAACTGTGGTGTCAAGTGATGAGAATTTTCTCAATGATTGAGATTTATAGACCATAATTGTTTGCAGTAATTTTTGACAAGGAATACATGCGTGTGACATTAAACTATTAATCAGAGGATAGTTTTAATTTAATGTATATGCGCCAAATTTTTTCTAACATTAACTCTAAGGGGGAAAGTTTCAGAACTGCAATTATTTACATTTATTGTGTAAAGTTCATGAGTTAGAAACTTATATATCTGTTAATTAAATTTAAAGAATTCCGTTCTTTTCAATTTGTGAAGCATTTTATGAAGGCATAATTTAATTCACGACTTTAAAGTTTGAGTTAATTTTCAATTCCTACTATTATTTCACGCTCTTCCTACACCCCCCCCCCCCCCCCCCCCCCCCCCCCCCCCCCCCCCCCCCCCCCCCCAACATACAATATCTTATTCAAATTTTCGAACGTTAATAAAATACTTTCAATTCATCCATTCAAGTTCAAATACAATTTATAAAACTTGTAGGGAATGACACTTGATGTTAATACAGTTTTTTCAAATATAATTCAATTATTAAATTTAAAAAATGAATGAATAGTAACAAACTAAAATCTTAGTCCAATAGCATATATAAAAAAGAAAAGCTTTCGTTGTATCCCTGAAGCGCTATAGATAGCGCGTTGGGTTACTAATCCAAAGGAATTGGGTTCGAATCTCACCTGGGATGGCTTAATTTCTGAGAATGTGATTTATTTTTTACTATATTATTTTATTAGCATAATTAAATTTAATTAATAAATAAACAGTAACAAGAGAAAAACGAACAAAAAAATAGTCCGATACCATATATAGAAAGGAAGATGCAAAATCGCTTTCTATTTTGCCAATTAATAGTGTGATTGTGTCATATATATTTTACATATTTATATTAATTCTGTTTAGTAAAAAGTAACTAAAATAAAAATTTTCTTTGCTAACCTAAGTAGAGGAATTGATTTATTTTTATATTACTTGTCTTCTTAAAAACATAGTGTACAAGTGGCGACGCACTAAATAATACAGTGATCTTTTTTGGAATGTTATTACAAATACTAATTGTTTTTTAGATTATTAGATAAAATATTCATAAAGACAAAAGTTATCTCTAGTCATGTGAGTGCGTTTGAGTTTGACATTTTTTTGTATCTATTCCATTATTTTTCCACTGTATTTTTATCAGTTATTGTCCGAAACATGTATAAACCAGAGGAATAAATCAAATATATACATATATAACAAAAAATAAACTTCCGCCAAAAAAAAAATAAAGTCAGTCACAAAAGTCAAGATTCACCGACATTTTAGTTGTTCAAGGTGTTCCCTGAAAGTCTTGTTTTATAAACCTACATAAATTAATCATATTTCCCGAACACAAAAAACCAACACGTGACTTATTTATTAAAAACCTTCAAACATAATTAATCACTAAGCACGGAAAATTAAAAAGGATATTATTTTCTACATTTTTCGATCCCCCTTCCAACCCTTCTATCCAGTCCCTAAATATGCACGTCCGTCGATAACACTTTACTCTTACTTTCTAAGAGTGAAGTACTTTAGTTGCTACACACACATCCATCTAGAAGGAGGGTGTAGTAAAACAGGGTCCGCTTCCTCAAACATCAAAATCCAGCAAACGATTTCCAATAAAGCTTCTCTTTCTAGCTCCCAGCAAACCGGTAAAGCAAGGGATGTAGTCTGTAGTCGACTCTGCTTCAAGGGGGAATAACATACCTCGGGGTTACTTAATAAACAATGTCCGTAAAACTAAAGTGAGTGGGGTTTTCAGGGTAGGGAATTATGTTTGGTCTTTTGGTTGAAGAGAAATGGTTTTTTTTGTGCGTGTTGTGTGTGTGGTCGTAAAATTAAGTTATACTGGATTGTTGTTTAAATATGGAAGGTTGGTTGCTCTGTGAGGCTTTGAATTGTTCTTCTCTTCTGTGAAGACACTTGAAATGGTTGCGATTTTGCTTAGTTTAATGTAGGAGTTTTTAATTTTTTTTTCTGGGGCATACAGCACCCTTATCAGGCTCATTATAAGAGGGTCATTCTGAAATTTTTGAGATACATCTAGATTTTTAAAGTTATATTAACAAATTATACGAGTGTTCAAAGCAGTCTCTTCCAGCGCCAATGCGCTTTTGTAGACGAATTTTCCATAGATTATATATAAATGCCTCAAACCATTCATTTCTTGGAATTGATAAAAAAATGCATTTATAACCAAATCAATCTCTTCTGAATGAAAAAGACTTCTAAGTAGGTTCTTTTTCAGATTAAAAAATAACTAAAAAACACACATAGATGAATCGGGAGAGTAAGGTGGATGTTTTATCACTTTAATTTGTTTTTGTTTAAGAGACTTAACTATTAATCCGGCTGGATGGGAGGATGCATTATTATGGTAAAGCGTTGCTCCCTTAACATTCATTTCTTATAGATTTTCTGGAGGATATTTAGGGGTATACTAGTTTGCTGTTACTGTCTTCTGTCCTTCCAAAATGACGGCTTTGCCCAATCCCGTATTTCTGAAGAAAGCGACATACATTACTTTACATTTACGGCATGCTTGTTGTCTTTTTACCAATGTCGGGGTGGGATCATCTTCAAAGACCCATACTTTGCTTTCTTGACATGTCGGAACATCAAGAAACGTTATGTTCGATTCATCATCCGTTACCATTTTAGAAAAGATGCCGTGGCCTCCATCATTTAGCAATTTAAAGGTTTCTTCACTGATTCTGACACGCTCCTATTTTGGTGCTAACTTAGATTATGCGGAAACTAATATTTCATATGTTATTATTATATGCTTTATGTATAACTGTGTACATGGTAGCGGATTTAATGTTAAGTTCCTTCTGTATCATCTGGTAGGTGCAGCGATTATCAACCATTCACATTTTTCGTATGGCAGATGCATTATCCCGGATTACTGCCAACCGCGGCCTTCCTGAGCGTTCTTCATCCTGAAGAGAATTACGATCTTTAACAGGTCTTTCATGTTGTCAAACCTATATCTAGTTCCGAGAATTAAAAAAGTTACTTGAGGTAAGATCAAGAGAATAAGGTGTTCAAAAGTAACATTTCACAGTTTAATTACTTTGATTCCCCAACCACACATCGAGATGAGTGAGCTGGTACATGAACAATCACGCTGTATTTCTAATCATTTGCATATCTCTCCGACATGTACCTTTATGTCAAGCTTCGTTACGATCCAGCAATTATTTCTTGGTGCGCTAATTTTTTGTCCATGAGTGTATATATAAAGAGAAAGAGAGAGCAAGACTATGTTTCGAGATAGCCTTTTTTTTTGTTTTGTGGAGATTTCCTATTTCACCAATGTGTAATTTAGCTAACAATTTTTACTATTTTCTCTTACTCTATATGTAACAGCGTATTGAAAACTCTAAGTATGTTTTTTAACAGGAAAATGAATTTCATTATCAAATTCCTTCTGTTAGGTGAATGAATGAATTATAAAATAGTTAAGCATATAAAAAAGTTATCTGCTCCCTTTATCATATTAAGTCAGAATTACCGAAAAGATTATTAAAAGAATTATTAACTTTCACAAAAATAAAGATGCGAATGCTGTTTCATGTTTAGTTTTTAATGCAATTCTGGGAGATGTCCTAGCTGCTCCCACAGATATCCGGGGGATATTTCATAAACCGTGTATTCGAACGACGTACACTTTTAACGCACACACACAATATTAAAATTTACGGATGTGCGTTATACGCTGCATATAAAATCAAAAGCTTTAAAAATAAAGAAAATATGAGTACAAAAAATTTAGATTTCTACATATATCTCAATACTATTTATTTAAAAAGAATAACATATATTATTAACTTTAATTACAGAATAACACGGAGAGTTAATCATATCTGTCTACCGTTATACCTTCAGGCGAATTCTGCTTCGTCTTCAAAATCATTGTTACTGATCAATAAATAAATAATAATCTTGTCTGTAAGATATACGGCATTTTTTTAGTGACTTCGTAGTTGTGTTAGGTTAATTTTCATTTCATGCTTTTATTATGCACTCGCACACAATTTCTAAACTTCAGAAGATTGTGCACGTACATTTCAGGCTTCTTTGCATAAAAAAGGTACGCGTTCGACGGCGATTATTCGTAAAACTGAAAAACTGCAGTTTGAAAGCATTGGATGCTCGTTTTACGCCAGAATATACGTTATGCCTAGTTACTAAGAACACATATAACTAATGATTTAATTCATAAAATTTTATTATGCAACAAAATATAATTTATTTATTATTTATAAAACAAAATAAGAATAATTTTATGTAATCAAGAAATTTTAAAATTCTATTTTAGTATACGTTGTATTTGCATTCGGATTTATTAACATTGCGCTAGATTAAGCTATCTTGATATTTGTTCAATGGATTTCCTATCATTATAGGAAAGACCACATCCTCTTTTTTTCGGTGAAAATTTCTCTCTACAGGGCTTCTTTATATTTATATAACAACTATATGAGTAAAATACAGAATGCAAAGGCTGTCGCGATACCTTCTCCTCATGTTGGTTGAGGTGAAGATTGCGCTTATTACTAGAATTCTCAGGGAATTTGAATACAGTTTGGATGAAGAAATTTGGAAGGATTACAAGCAGAAAGTATGAAAAGTTTACTTTTATAAATCTAACATTAGAGATGACTATACGATATACAGACAGGACAAGCTAAATGTTGTACGTATGTGAGCGAGGTACAATTCTGTGGTCTTGAAGATCCAGAAACCTTTGTAATTTTGAATTCTTAAAGTACATACGACAATGTGAGGTGTTTTGGCACAAATAAGTGTGTTATCATCTAAAATCATCTACATAAACATTTCTATTCATCTCTACAATCATTGGCTCACCCACGGGGAGTTCCACGAGTACAGATCCCCATCCCTCATAGCCCTTGATTTTTTTTTCTATTTATGATGGTGCTATGAAAAAGAACGTAAAAATTAGTTGAGTATTTGCTATTAACAATTTAGTTTATCAATTAATGCTTATTAATTCAATAATTTACTTCTTACAGTTTTTTTTTGTTCCCAAAATTTACAAAACCAAAAGGAATATGTTTAGTGGGGTATTGAGGTATGATACGACAATGTTGGACTATCTAAACCCTGGTCCTCTCCCCCTCTCCTTGAAAAATTTGTGTATGCGCTACTATCTATCATCTACCCCTAGCTGACTATTTAAATATTATTCGGTATGGACGTTGGATTATACATTGAGGAGTTGTTTTAGATTAAAGTTCCACTTTGGCTGAGTGGAAGAGAAACCGTGTTTGAGAGGATATAAATATTGTGGATAGCTCATTGTGTTATAAGGTTCTAGGTTGTATTACAGTCCACGAGAACGTGTTAGACCTTAAAGATCCCAGTTTCCTAACAGTAATAAATTTTAAATAAACCGTTATACTATAATAAACTTTTCATTATAAAACAATTATTTATTTGGTTTTTAAAGAATGATTAGGGGGATGTACCCTCTGTCCATCTAACGGCGGACCAAGCTCCATTGTACAAATTATACAACTGCTCGTACTTATTGCTCAAATTGTAAAACTGTAATTTAATTGCATTAGGTAGTTCGATGCAAATTTGTCCGAACTGTAGTTTTACTCCTTTCTGTTGTAAAGATGTAATTGC